ATAAGCGTATATTCGTACATCTGTATGTCAGCATGTGGGCCTTGGCAACTTCCTTTGCCTTTTAGTGCGTCTCGTTATTATGTTTGAGTCTGTCTATACTATATGATATATAAACATATATAAACATATAACATTTAATTTATACCAAAAAAAGACAAAAATATCACACAGATTTTTAACAAATTGCCTGCAATACAAAGATTAAAAACTAAAATAAACAGAAAATACAACAATTTCATTGATTGAACAACAAACATCGAAACATTAATTCTATTTGATTTACTATTTCTACTATTGCAAATGATGTATGTACATATTTGATTCAAAACTGGGGGAAATAAAATACTAATAACTTAAAAACAATTTAAAGCAATTTACCTATTCAACCTAGAATATCTTTGAAAAAATTGGGGGACAAAAGAAAACACAATTTTCTACATAACATACATAAGAAGGTGACAATAATAATAACATAATATTAATAACTTTTTTTCTACGTTGGTAAAGTTATTAAACTTAAAAATAAAACAGAAGGAGCACTAAAGAACTAAGAGCAGAAGACGTAGAACAACATAAGTTTCCTGTGCATAGTAACAACAGCGTCATCTTCGAAGATCCCACGCGTCGTATTCGCAATTTTCTGCGCAAGGCAGATTGGTGCGAGCGCCTTTGCTTGAAAACTGTCAAATGGCTAGAAGAATTACAACAACAAGCATGCGTGTGCTTGAAGGAAGAGGAAATGATGAACGACGTTCATTCAGCAATGTGTGCCCACGCAAAAGTCGATAAATTATTAGATTGTAAATAAAGAAACGAAACGAAACGAAAAGGCGACGACAGCGACAAAGTGAATGGGAAGGCGGCAGACGCTGCTGGAATGGAAACGAACTAACTGGGAAAAATGCAATAGGACCACAACGATACCAGATAGTACGTAAAACGATGACATATAAAAAAAGCAAAAATACTAAAACGCTGATGACAGGCGAGGCAGGCCAAAAAAAAAAAAAAAACAACGAGCAGGCAGGCTAAGAAGATTATTGAAATTCGCAAAACTTGTTCCCTTTTTCTTTCTTTTTTGCAATCGCACACATGTGTCCAGTCAAAGGCAAAGCGGAGGGGAACTGGAGGTGGGGCACGTGGTGCACACATACACATGCACACACACACACATACTCACATACTCAAAGCAAAATGTAGTCAGCTGTTGCCTGCCGCCGACAACAACAACTAGTGTTTAAGGCGCAACACTCAGGACACCTAAACGTTTGCGTATTAGTATGTCAGTTTGTCGACTATTCGTGGGTGTATGTGAATACCTATGTATGTATGCATGTATAGTATATATGTTTGCGTTGCGTATGCCTGCGTGTGTTTGCACATAAGTGAGAATACGTGTAAAGTGTGTGTAATCAATCATTTATGAAATTACGCTACTTCCGTTTTTGACAATTTTCTCTCAACGCCCAACGATTTTTTCTTTTGGCACACGGACCGATGACGTAAGTTAATGTGATATGTTTGTCTATGGACATATACATATATACATATATAAATATATATACATATTTATTTGTAAAATATCAAATTTACACATTGACACATGTGCGTGCCTGTCATTCCCTAAGTATGTGTGTGTGAGTGTGTTTTTTTTTACACGCGCGCCCACAGAAATATGTTTGTGTCACATAAAATTGAAATCTTTGTATGTGATCGAAATAAAAAATAAACTTGTAAAGCACGAACGCCCCTTAAACATTTGCTCAAGTCAAATGTTGGTTCGAAAATATGAACTGGTAGGGGCGCCAAAGGATAAGTGTAGTCCTTGGGCGGCACCAAAATGCATGTAACTTAATTAGCAATTAAATAATTAAATAAACTCAAATGTAATGCTTGATAAACGCACATATAGCATATTCATATGTATATATATAAATATATACATATATATATATATATAAGTGTGTTTGTGTGTCGCACAAGTGGGACATCTGAATAATTAAGAGACTAACAGAGTCACATGCCAACCAATGGCTGTGGTCAACAGTTTTCTTTTAATTTGCACACAAATTATGAGTGTGTGGGTGTGTTGTGTTGTGTGAAGGTAATCTAATTTGCTTTTATTTGAACATTGAATTTACCAACCGACAAGAACTTTGTCCTCCTAATGAGCGGGGTGTCGAGCACGCACGCACACATTCGTAAATTTTGACCATATGAATCCCTTTCGCCGTCTTGCGGTTGACCACAATGTCAAAGGCCCTTTTACTAATTAGACGACTTGTGGTTAATGTAATCATAAATAGCAATTATTGTTTATGCTGCTTAAACATGGCCAGATTGTATGAAAATTTTATGACATGTTTATAGGGTATTGATAAAATGCCTTGAATCACTTGCCATTGTCACTTCTGTGTGTGTGTGTGTGTGTGTGTGTATTCGTGTGGTTTATGCTATGACAACTTAATTAATTTAAAGCAGCTGCGAATGCTGAGCAAACTGTCTGCCGACTTGCCCAACTATATGGCCAGCCAGGCAATCGACGAAACGTGTTTCCTCTGACAGTTTTAGACGCGCATGGTACCAGCCATGCGATAAGACAAACGAGAATCACACGCACACACACACACACAGGCAGCCACACGAACTCTGACTGGAAAGCCGATGTGGGACTGCAAATTTGGGAATGGAAATCAAAGGCGCAGCAGCCAACACAGCATCTGAGAGAGCGACAGAGAGAGAGAGAGAGAGAGAGAGAGAGAGAAGCAAACGCGCGCAGTTGAGATTCAAAATAGCTGAAAAAAGTAAAATGTTTTGTAGAAAACACATCACAATTGCAAAGCCTAACACTTTGAATTAATAAATTGCAAATTGCCAACAATTAACCCCTGAATTATCTCCACTAATTATTAGTGGTGCTATAAATATTTCACAGACATGCACAGAAGCGGTGCCTGGCTTGTACAACTTATGTAAACTTCGATATTCAATGTAAGAGCCATGCGTCCTGTTTGTGTCATGTGAGCGGAACGCATTGGCTGAATGGCTGAGTGGCGAAGGCACTCGGACAGAGAGAGCGACAGCGAGAGAGAGAGAGAGAGAGAGAGAGAGAGTGGCTGGAGAGCGAATGGAATTAAGCACAGCTGCTGCTTTGGCTGCTTTGGCTGCTTTCACCTGATTTCCATAGCGTCGAAATTCGAACTACAATTATGTTAACGAGCAGAGAACTTGGCTGGCTTGTCTTTAAGGGATATTGCTGTTGTTGTTGTTGTTATTGTTATTGTTATTGTTGGTGGTGTTGCAGGGACTGCTGCGAGCATTAAATGTGTGCCACCAGGCGTATGCGTAATTTAAATTTAAATTTCTATTTAGACGCATGCGTTTACACACAAACAAACCTAAATACATTCAACACTAACTTATATACATACACACATATAGTATGTCTGCATGTGGCTTATAAAAGTTAACACACCAAAGTACTGACAGTATGTGTTTATGTGTGTGTGTGTGTGTGAGTGTGTACGGCACTGCTTAGCCTTTGCTCAAGTTACTGTTCAGTTTTCTTAATCAACGCCGCAATTCACGTTCTAGCAATGCTGCTTCGTTTCTTTTTCTTTCGCTTTTTACTGCTCTCTGCTTTTTACATTCAAAGCATTTCCTTTGGCAACAGCGATGCCCTCATTAGCGTGCTTATTGTCTCGCCTCTGACTACTTAGCGCGCGCTGTAACTTGGCCAGCAGCAGCAGCAACAACAACAACAACAGCAGCAATGTTAACGGCAGCTACAACCACAATATAAAACCCGTCACAGCTATGCAAATGGTTCTGATCCCGTTTCTCTTGTTTAGCGCAATTTAAAGCCACATTTGCATTGCAGGGCCTGGGCGTGATATTGCTCAACGGGCTAGCAGGAATCCCTCAATGTGCGTTCGTTCGCTCGGTTCGAATCACGGTGCTAGCATCAACATGCATAAGCATGGTTTGAAATTACTTGCAGAGTTAACATTCTGCAAGAGTGGTCACTTGTTATATAAAAATGTCCAACTGTTGTGTTATGGCCTCAGCTGCAGGCCGATACGCAACATAAATAAAAAATAAGAAAAACTGTATAAATTGAATAGGTTCAGGCTGGCGACTGATAATCAATATTGTATTGCGCATCAAATTACAAATATGGCAAGCACGAATGCGCTAAGTACACATTAAATAAAATACCACCAAATATGCACCGAAATATTTTCACACAAACACAAGGACAAGCACAGAAATGATCAAATCGGTGCTGGCTCTGGCGCTGGCTCTGGTGTGGTTAATGCCGGTGGCGATTTTATAACCCCTGACACAGGGGCCCCAAATTAACTGCCCGTGCTCACCCGACCATTTTGCCGAGTTGATAATTAGATGTAGAAATATGAAACCTTGGACAGTCTGTCGAGCGTGTTGCCATGGGGCAGACCGAAGCTTTTGTACGAGCATACCACTGAATATGAGTGTCTGTATGTGTATGTGTGTGTGTGTGAATTAGGGGAGACGGGTGGCGACTAGCGGATTGGGGGCAAGCAGCAACTTCAATTATTAATGAGCAGCTAAAAATGTCACGCAGCGACGCTTGCCGCAACTTTGTTTGTCTGCATGAAAGAAGAGCTTTGCTGTTGCTGTTCGTGCTGGTGTTGGTGTTGGTGTTAGCGAGTGTGGGTGTGGGTGTGGATGTGGGTGTGAGCAGACAATGAGAAACAAGCGTAATTGAAGGCAAGCGGGTGGTCAATGGTCCAGCTTAAGCATGTTTTCATTTTGCAGCTCTTGGCAACCCTTGCTCCGACATCGGTCTTTGCCATTTTTGGGATTTTCAGGATTTAACAAGCTGAATTTAAATGAATGTACATATTCAGGCAAATGGCAGCTCATAAAACAAAGTGTGGCATTTAATTAAAATTATGTACAAGTATTATATAGATTCATATTTATTATAAAAGACAAAAAAATAATCATCCACTCACCTTGCAGTCGTCGCACTGGTTGATCAGCGAATACATTTGCCGGCAGTCGAAGCGAAAAAGTATCTCGGCCAGTTCGCAGGTAATGCGATTTGCCAACGCATCTACATCCAATAGATTGCCCAGTATCCGTTCACACTCCTCACTGTCGCTGAGCGTGGCATTGAGGGCCAACGTGTGCAACGCACTGAACACACTCCGTTCACAGCAGTTGCGCAGGCGTAGTTGCCGCAGACGCGTTAACAGCTGGCTGGGTGCTTTCAGGCTGCACAAATGCTGGGGACTGGTCTCGGCGGCATCGCCCAGATAATCAAGGCACTGTTGTTGTTGTTGTTGTTGTTGTTGTTGTTGTGGCGCTTCGCCCGCGTCTGCATGGGCGCGCTCGGCACGCAAATGACTTGGATGGGGCGACATTATGGTCTCCTTAAAGCGGTCATCAATATTCTCAATTAGCTGATCGGCCATATCGCTTGTTGATTGTGTTGCCTGTTCTGCTGATGATATTGTTGTTGTTGTTGCTGTTGCAGTTGCATCTGCATCGTCATCAGCATCATCAACAATATCAACGTCTTTCGTTGCCATTGTTGTGCTATCCATGATGGTGGTTGTTGTTGCTGTTGTGCTTGTTGTTGTCATTGTAGCCGTTGTTGCCTTAGCCGGTCCTGTTGTTGCTGCTGTTGTTGTTGGTGCAATATCCGCAGCGCCTCTTGCTGTTGTTACACCTCTTTGGGGCTGCTGTTCATAGATATCGCGTCGCACCTTCGACATGGCTTTATAGTTATTGTTGTTGTTGTTGTTATTTTTGTTTTTGTTGTTGCTGTTGTTGCTGCTGGTTGCACTTAAACGCGTATGCGACTTATAGTTAAATGTATTTGTATTCGTGTTTATATTGTTATTAATGAAATACTTCATCTTATTATCATTTGGCTGCGTCTGCTGCTTATTATTATAATAATAATTATTATTATTATTACTATTTATGGGCTGCTGTTCGGCACACGAACGCGGACAAGTTGGCGGACCGGGTCCCTCATCGACCCAGGCCATGGGCAGTGTGCCAGCCGAGCACTGACCCTGTAATGACAGCACAGAAATGAGAGAAAAAGAGAAAGAGAAAGAGAGAGAGCGTGAGTAAATGTTGAGCATTAGCTAAAAAGGCAGTCAATTAAAAATTAGCTCAGCTGTCAGCTCGGCAATTAACACGAGCGGTGGCAAAAAAATATAAGTGTATGTGTATTATATAAAAAAATGTATGATTTTCAAATTATGCACATGGCGGCTGCAGGGCCACTTATTCTCTCTTGCACACTCACACACAACATACAAGCCCTGCATTAAAAACAACAACAACAACAAAATCCCAGCGGGAATAGAAACAAAAACTACTCTCGTATATTGAAAAAGTTTTGCACGCAGCTCGACAACAGCCAGCAGCAGCGCAAGTCATAAAAATAAAAGAAAAACAACAACAAATAAAAGCCAATGCAGTTACAACAAAAACAATAAGAACAACAAGAACGGCAGCTGCAATGAGTGCCGCTGTTTTTCGTTATTAAAATGACCGCACTTCGTTGAAAATTTTCACAAGCACATAAAAACTCAAAGAAACACATACACTATGGAGCAAATCGTAAATTTCACAGGCTATTTGATGACAAAAATATCCATTTTGTTCTTTATATAATCAAATATAGCTTGAACCTGCTTTAAGTTAACTTAAAAGGATTCATTTTCCAATTTGAGATTTTTAGTTTTTTCGTCATATTCGTAACATCTTTGCATTTGCAAAATCTAAAGCACATAACTGAATAGTAAGAGTAAATCCATATACACAAACCTAAATGAGATAACGATAATAATCGCAATAATGGCCAAGTTTTTAGTAAAATGTCAAGACATTTCTATACGAACGCTGGCTTCAAAGATATAGCCCCCAAACATACATAGTAAGTATGAATATTAGTAAATATTTAACTCAATTAGAAATATTTAATAGAATAGAAATATGTAGTACACAAATAATGATTACTACGATATCCAAGGAATGACGTCACTCACAAGGGAACATCAAACTCAGGCATGTGCAACTGCAAACTGCAAGAAATTTTCAATTTCCTGGTGCTGTACTGTTACTAGGAGTTCTCCCAGGAATTCGTAACTATATTTTGCTCAAATACAGAAGAACCCCCATTGATATTTTAATATCCATGTCATTCATACTTGCATTTGAAAACACCAAACAGCCTTGAATTACAAAAAGGTTGCTTAAGTAAACCAAAAATCATTGTCAAATTATATAGCTTTCAACTAGATTTTTGAATTGTTGAACTGAATGACTAATAATGAATCTTTAATGGTACATACATACATATAAGTATATACATAAAAAGTAATTTGATATTTGTTTCTATTATGGAAATGTTCTGTAAGTATATCTATAATGTAAGCAAAAACACGACGGGCAGGGCCTGGTAGTATTCATATATGGATTGTTTCAATATTTATTTATAGATAGAAAGTGCGTAGGAACTACAAGTACATATATATTTGTATAAGGGAATTTTGGATTTCAGTGCGCGGTTTTTTCAGAAAATAGGAAATGCAGAGCAGCAATTGAATTATTAAGGAAACCACCGCTTGTGCGACAAAAAACTCTATCCACTGCATAATTACTGTTTATTCCGTTTGATGTGGCGATAAAAACTTATTGCTAAATTGCAGTTGAAGGTGGATTATAATGAATGTTGATGTGTTTGGATTTAATAAAACCGGACCCCCTGCGAAAAAACAAAAAAAAAAAAAAAAACAAAAAAAAATTGAGCGGAAGCAATGTGCGAAGCAATCTTGGCACCACATTAAAGATTAATCAATATGTCCGATGTGCAATAAGTAAATTTCCAGTTAACATGTGTATGCCAGAGTAGACGGCAATGAAAACGACCGTTGGCTGTTTGTGTGAACAGTCAACAAAAAAGACCTCATTGAACTCGACTCGACCTGATCTGAATGGGGACTTGTGCCTGCTCCGGGCTCGTCTCTGGCAAATGAAAATTCACACAATGTCCTAACACATATAAGCACGCGCGCACACATGCATGCATGTGAGAGGCCATTGTTGATTTAATGGCAGACCAGCTGCGGCCCACTGCACAACAATGCGGTACTTATAAATTTTCGTCCTGGCCCCCTCTCTGTGCCTCCCCAGTGGCAAACAATGTAAGAGGGAATGGTAGGGAAGGCATAAAAAACACAACAACAAGGTAAAAAATACTCGTGCATAAGAAAAGAAAAAGATAAATTCTTCAATGCGCCAAAGTGAAATAAAAAATTACTTCATGTATTACAATTTTTTGCAACATACGCAAAAAACCTAATAAAAAAGCACCCGCCAAGTTGGAGCTTCTTCCTAAGGCAGGGGCACAGCTGACCCTTCTGTGATGCTTACAGGCATTAAAATGAATCGGGCTGCTGTTAAGCTAAGCTCATTTTTATTCTTCATTTTTTGTTTTTCGGTTTGCTTCTTTGCACTTCCAAAACTTGTGCTACAAGTTGGCAACAGTCGTTACCCAATAAGAAAATTCAAATGCAAGCCAGAGCCGCAAATTTGCCGTAAGCAAATTTTGGCTAATGAAAAGTCATTAAAGGGCCAGCCTTCAATATTTTCGAAACGAAAACTTGCTAAAGAACTGCCAATTAAATTATGCATAACGCTTTTAAGTCGTTAAGAGCGCATTAAGCGCCGATATTCCCCCACTCAACGCAAAGACGCTCTTCAACTTTCTGTCGAAAATTTCTGCGTTGTCTGCCAGTCAGTGTCCACAACTATAATAATGCCAATTCGTTACTCATACGCCTTGTTGGTCAGCAGCATTCTTACATCCCATCCCCGACATCCCAGATACGCACAAATATCGGCCATGTGCATATGAAAAATGTGTTGCCAATTGCAGTTAATTGAAATTGCAACACTTGCGTAAAGTAACTTGGCCAGGTCTGTGAAAAATTCATAAGCTTTGGAATGCCTTTACCGAGCACATTCAGAGTTGTGTATAAAAAATGCATGCGCCATGCCCTCGTTACCAGGACACAGTCATGGACATGCAGTTTTAATATCAACATCAATCGAGCATTTACAAACAGTTACTAGCTTTGCCTCCCTATTTACTTTCGATGGGAGACGATTCTCGAGTATACGATTCAATACGATATGTATTTTAGAATTATTTAGGAAGCTCTTGCGTGGTTATCACTTATTTTAAATCATAATACATTAATTGAATAATTGAAAAAAAAAAAAAAAAACACTTAGGCAGCCTCTTTAGCCACAAAAACTGTCGATTAAGGAATATATGCAGCCATAACATAAATTTCTTAATAAGGTATCTAATTTAGTGTTTTTTTTTTTTGTATCTAAATGGAAATGCTTAACATGACTTTATATTTCTTCCTTTATTCGTCATTTATTAATACTTGTGTACTCAATTGAATTCTGGATATTTTGATTAATTCCGTAATCAATGGGATTTAAATATTTTGAAAAGGGTGCTTTCAAAATATTTTGTGTTTTATTTACATATATATATATATATATATATATATATATATATATATATATATATATATATATATATATAGATATATATATATATATATATATATATATATATCTATATATATATATATATATATATATATATATATATATATATATATATATATATATATATATATATATATATTGAGGATGACGAGGCAGATTTAATATTCTGATTTTTCGAATAGTTACAAAATAAGGTATCAAACAAGAAAAGTGGGGATTTAATTGTTCTTACAACTTGCCTAGTATCTGTTTTATGGGCCCTCCAAACAATACATTATATTTGAAGAGTAATTCTCACACAAAGAAAATATACTGAAAAAACATTAAAACAGTGCTAGCCAGAAGTATTTATTTACTTAAAGCTGCCATTTGAACAGTTTTGGCCAACTTATTTTTTATTTATGAACCACTCACACTGCTGGATGGTATGGTGTTATTAGTGAGACACTTATGTTAAAGATGTTATTCGAAAGTGAATCACTTTGTCTTTGTCCTACGGTTGCTGTCGACTTTCTAGCTGAAGGACTTGAGCCTAGACTGAATGAGAATGCCTGTCATCGGAATGAAATGGTGCACTGACCATATATCAGTAGGCCATGCATTTATGCACTTTGCGACATGTGAAGCAGAGAATGCTTTGACTTAACGCTTCGGAGGCAATGAATAAATTACGACCACCTCGTCAACATGCAAAGGCGCTGAGGTGCTGGAAATTGTAGTGCAGTGTGCCTGCTGTGTGTGAAGGAGTAATTGAGCTTTATTTGAGCAGCGTTAGCTAGCTAGCTAGCTGCTCCAAAAATAGGCAACATATTTTTGCCGAAACTTTTGCCAAATATTTGATTTAGCAATTAACATTTGTTTTCCTGAGCAAGTAAAAGGTCCAAAATCATCAACAGGCGCCTGATACAATGGACTATGCCAAGTAAAACCAAAAGTGCACTTCAGCTAAACACCAACACAACAAAAAGAAGCAGCAACTGCAGCCACCAACTACTACAACAATGACGCTGATGGCAGCGGCAATGGAACCGACAACACTTTAAATGTTACAGCTTAACCTCGACTGGCAATCCAAACAACGCGCAGACTCACACTCACCCGCACATCAGTATACTTGTGTGCCTGGATGTGCTGGTGTTTGTGTGTTCTCTTATTTATGTGCAGTACGGTGGCTGTGTGTGCGAGTATGTCAAATTTAAGCGCTTGCTTATGAAAGCTTCAACAATGGCGCAAGAAAAATGCAAGTGGAAAACAGCGGCACCAGCAGCAACAACAAGGCACACGACGCAAACACCACTCAAAAATATCCAAATGCAGGCTCTACACACACAGAACACAATATATGTGCACACAGACACAGACACATACATGCATAAGTCAAAAGTGAACATTGCCTAAAAGAGATGCCATTTTAAAAACAAAGCCTATTCTGTTTTCAATTTAAATTAACTGTCTACTAAGAACGGATAATTTT